TTCTTTCTTTCTTTCTTTCTTTCTTTCTTTCTTTCTTTCTTTCTTTCTTTCTTTCTTTCTTTCTTTCTTTCTTTCTCCAATGAGTTAAAACATTCTCAGTGCTGCCTCCTTGCAAGTCCGCCTGTTCTTCCCTGGCCATGCAGTTTTACCTGGCATCAAACACAACGCAGCGCAGCTTCCTCGCAGCATCGCCACCGGTGATCTCGATCTGCAGGTGGATTTCTCCTTGCACTTCCTCATCTGGGTCAATTTCGGTGAGGTTCAACCAACCACTGTAGCCTAAGAACAGGAGCATGGGGGGAACCAATGTGCGAGATGAGAACAACAGCAGAGTCTCCCCTGCAGGGATGGTACAAAGTCAGACTTCAAGAAGGTTGCCAAACCCTTTCTTGACATTTCATTCTCACCCCATAACTTGGTTATTATTCATTTGTTAAAGTTATATGCTGCCTTTCTTTCTGGACTTCAAGACAGCATACATTTACTCCCTTCTCCAGTTATATCCCCATGCAACCTGTGAGGTAGGATGGGCCAGGGAGATTCTCTGCCTATTGTCTGGTTTACACACATTGCACAAAGTCATGTGTCGTTTAATCTTGGATTACTGAATAAAACACAATACAGTTGCACAAAATGCTAGGCTATCCCCTATGGCATACAACCACAAAGGCTGGATTGACCCAACAGACTAGGCAGAGGTGTAGACAGCCAGGAGGTTACCGAGGAAAAAGGGGCTGAAAGGTTTTTTAAGTCCAGAACAATGAGATAACATTCGGAAGCGACTCAGGCAGAACCTCCCTAATTCTCTGAAATATGGGAAGAAGGAGGAGGTGCAGCCTAATCAGACTTGCAAGATTCTGCTATTATAGCCAATCTCAATACAGTAAAAGTTGTTTTCACCTTCCTGTGGAGTAAATTTCCTGATCTGGTCTACCTAGTGGGGCTGACCAGGGGTAAATAAGATGTCTGGGGCTGCCACTGTGCCTCCTGTTTCCACAGCATGGCCTAAAGCTGTTCAGTGACTCTGTGACATCACCAAAAGGACTGGATCAATCTGTTCACTTCCCCCCTTCATTCGCAGCCTAAAACTTCCCCCCTCCAAAACAGCATGAATTGACCCTGGCCGATCACTGAATAACAGCAGCGTGATCTGGAAGTGTGGTGGGATCACAAAGCGGGGGCTGGAGGTGGCACAGATGGACCACCCTGAATTAAGCTGCAATGGTAGGACAGGTCAGCACAATGTTGAAGCAGAGGACAAATACGCAGTTGATCAGTCAGGCAGTTTTCTGAGGTCTCTTTCCACTTTGGTTGATTATTTATTTAAAACATTTTTATCCAATCTTAATGAAACTGAGTCTTTTTCAGCTCTGTGAACCTCCTTCTATTAGCAGCCAGTGACATTGTCTTGTCTCACGACTCAAGCCTAGTGGCCCTTTTAGTAGCAAAAAACCCACAACCAATGGCACGCTTCGCCTGGTTACTGAAGTGACTCATTTTCTGGGTCTGAACAATAAAGTGAACCATAAAGTAGAAACAAAAGGCAGGGTTTGCAAAACACACACACACACACACACACATCTAGCCAAGGTTCATAGGAACCAAGCATAGCCTGTCTCCTCCCTTTTTAATCGATTTAATGGCGTTGTTTGAACCCAGCCACTGTGTGTCCTCATTTGTTCCCAGTTCTAATCCCACCTAAAACAAGAAGGAAGTCGGGGTAACAATAGGAAGAGTGCTTACTCCCTTCTCTTGGAAAGGCAGATTAGCCAGGTGGCGTAACCCACTTAGAACCAGGAGACCATGAAGCCAGCAGGGTGACTTTGGGCCAGTCCCTCTCTCTCAGCCCTTAGGAAGAAGAAGGCAAGGGCAAACTCTTCCAAAAATGTTGCCAAGAAACCTGCAAGGGCTGGTCCAGGCAGTCGCCAGGTGTCAAGACTGACTCAAAGGCCCACTTAAAACAAAAACAAAAAAACTCTGAGCTGATAAAATCCATTGCAAGGCTAGAACACATGCTGATACCAAGCTGATCAACCGGCTTTGCAATTTTTTTCGGGTGGAGAATGGAACTGGAATCCTAAGACAGGAAATTCTATGCCCCTTTTAGCCCTCAAAGAGCTTTCAGATTCAGCCTCAGCAACAGCTTCTAGCTGCAGAGAGAGAATTGCTCCCTGCCCCCAAATCTCAACTATGAGTCACTGTGCCTCCAACACATCCCCCGATTCCTGAGTAAGCAGCGCACGTTCTCTCTTTAGCTCCTGTCTCGCAGAGAAACTAGAAAAGGACCAAAATAAAATAAACACTCTCTGCACAAAAAGAGGATCCTGCTGGAAACGTGTCTTTGCTTCTCCTTTTTCTAAATCTATCCTTTGCTATGGTCTGGATCTCTGCTGAAAAACAGAGAATGACAGATCAGCAAGTACCAATCGGAAAAGTAACTGGGATGCTAAAAGCAGGAAATTCTGCTCTACATTTGAGGCAATCAAGAATATTTGCACCTCTGAAGATTATTGGTCAGCTTTGACTGAGAAGAGAAGCTACAGGACCTTGTATTATACAGCATCTAAATCAGCACTGGGATAGTGAAGACAGCATGAATAGAGAAACTGGATGGACAACAGAGCACGGGAGAAGGATCTAGAAGGATTTACAAGCACTGGTGTACCGTCAGCTGAATGGGAGCAAGCATGGTGATGCAGCAGCTAAAAAGGCAAATACAGTCCTGAGCTGCAATAACAGTGTGCTCATCTTATGCGAAGTAAGAGTTCCACTGAATTCTGTGTTGGTTTGACTACACTTGGGAGTATTGGTTCCCGTTCTGGGCAATGTGTTTGAAAGGGATATGGAGGGACTAAGGCTGAATCAGAGGAGAACTCCTGGGATGATATGGAGTTTGATCCATTCCTCTGAGGAAGTCAAAGGAGCTGAACATGATTAGTTTGCAAAAGAAAACATGAAGGAGATGTATAACAACAGTCTAAAAGTATCTAAAAGTCTTCTCAAGCGCAAGACATGTGAACTGACTGATCTATGTCTCAGTACATCCCTTCTAACCCTACTAAGTGGAGTGAAATAGTTATGTCAACAGAGGGTTAATACAGTATAGGAATAGAATGTATTAGCTATAAAATAAACAGGTTTACATTAACACAATATGAGAGCGCTCTACCTATATCTGGAAAAGGAAGCTTGTACAGCTAGAGAGGTTCACCCTGATTGGGGCTGAGGTAGGACTTTCAAGAGGGATTGGTGGCCCCAACTCAGCAGAGTTGGGGAAGTGTCTTCTCAACCTGTAGGGCTGTTTTTACCAATGAGGGCCATGCTCAGCCATGGGAGACTTGGGAGGGAAGAGCGGGTGCCAAAACATAGAGGGTGGAGGGCAAAACACACCCTGACTGAAGAGAACTTAAATGTATAATATTAAAAATGGATTATATTAATTCTATGGAGTGAATATGACCACTTCTTGTGTATTTCTTTCCCTTTGTTCAGGGGGAGCCCCAAGGGCCATACCTAAAGTTTTGGGGGTACCACCTGTTCTCCATCCCAGTTTATGGTCTTCCTTCCAGAAATGCACCCAAGGCTTATGCATGATGGTTATGTGCAGTGCAGAACAGGAGAAGAATACAACTTGAAGCAAAGCCAAACAAAATAAGGAAAGTCTAAACCAGTGTTTCTCAACCTTGGCAAACTGAAGATGTGTGGACTTCAACTCCCAGAATTCCCCAGCCCCCATGCTGGCGGGGGAATTCTGGGAGTTG